CCTACACCTCTGTCTTCAGGATGGATGTTTTTTATCTGCAAAAAATGTCATTGGGATTTTGGTGGAAATTGCACTGAATCTGTAGATTGCTTTGGGTGATATTGACATCTTAATATTAAGTCCTCTGATCCATGGACATGGGTTGTCTTTTCATTTATTTGTGTGTTAATTTCTTTCAGTGGTGTTTTTGGTGTACAAGTCTTTACTTAATTCCTATGTATTGTATTCTTTTTGATTCAGTTATAAATTGAATTCATAATTGTCCATTGTTAGTGTATAGAAATACAACTCATTTCTGCATGTTGAATTTTTGTTTTCCTACTTTACTATATTCACTTATCAGTTCTAAAGTTGTGTTTTGGGTTTTGGTTTTTTTGTTTGTCTATTTGTGTTTTTGGTGGGACCCTTAGGATTTTCTACATATCTTAGGGTCTTCTGCATATAAGATTATGTCATCTGTGAACAAAGACAGTCATACCTCTCCCTTTCCAATTTGCATATCTTTTCTTTTTCTTTCTTACTTGATCTGGCTAGGACTTCTAATATTATGTTAAATACAAGTTGCCAAAGTGGGCCTCCTTGTCTTGTTCTTGACCTTAGAGGAAAACTTTCAGTCTTTCACCATTGAGTATGGCGTTTGCTGTGAGGCTTTCATACATGGCTTTTATTTTATAGAGATTGTTCCTTGTATTTCTAGTTTGTTGAGTGTTTATATTATATAAGGGGGTCAAATGTGGTTAAATGCATTTTTTATAACAATTGATGATTGTATGTTTTTTTCCCTTTATTCTGTCAATATGGTCTATTACATTGATTGATTTTTATGTTGAACTGTACTTGTATTTCAGGAATAAATTCCACTTAATCATGGTGTATAATCCTTTTAGTATGCTGCCAAATTTGGTTTGCTAGTGTTTTGTTGAGAATTTTTGTATCAGTGTTCATAAGGGATATTGTTCAGTAGTAGTTTTCTTTTCTTGTATTGTTTTTCTTGATTTTGATATTAGGGCAATTCTGGTCTCATAGAATGGGTTAGAAAGTATTGCCTCTTTTTCAGTTTTTGGAGAAGTTTTGAAATGATTGGTGTTAGACTTAAATATTTGGTGTAATTCACCAGTGAAGCCATTAGGTCTAGGGTTTTTGTTTGTCAAGTTTTTGATAACTCATTCAGTCTCCTTACTAGTTTTAGCTTTGATGTAATGTAGAACATTTTCAACTCTGGGCCACACTGAAAGTTCACCTTCCATGTCACTTGATGTATAGGCCAAAACATTGTTCAAAAAACATGTCTCTAGAACCTGAACAGTCTTTCTCAGCATTTAGCTTCCTTCTTGGAGAGGTGGTAGGTGTGAGATGAAATAATTTGTCTTTTGCTTTGAAGGGAATGTTCTGGCATGCCTAGGTCAGACCCTTAAAACTTCACTGATGTGCTTTGTATGGTTTATGTCCAGTCCTCTGGAGCACATGCATCTTACCAAGGGTCCTAATGCACTTGCCATTTCTTATCTATCCACCCTAATTTAATATGGTATCAATAGTGAACTAATGTCATCTGTAGAATGGCCAGATTCTGGTGCCTCCTGACTGATTTGATAGAGAGCAGAAAAGTTTACATGGACCTATATAAAGACTATAAAAGTATAGTGTTGTTCACCCCGCATGAATGAGAACTGCTTGTGGTCCTGTTAGGAATGGATAAGAATACATGAGCTTAATCAGTAGCCACATATCATGTACCTGAGACCAAGTTAATTTGCTGTAGCAAAAACACTACATCTAGCACGGTGACTGAAATTGAGACCTACTTGTTAGTAGTCTACTGTGATCCGTCTCGTTTTACATAGGTCATACTTGTGAATGAATTGAGTGTTTGATGGAGACCTTTACCCCTACAACCTTTAGGTCTTTGCTGTCTTGGGGTGAGGGTGGGCAGTTTCAGAGGTTTCCACTTGTCCTAACCTGAAGCCAAGAAACCAATATGGAGGTTTTGCTGACTACCAAATATGTTCATTCTAAGTATTCGTTTGGAGATGGGTGAAGTGAGCACTGATTGAGCCTGGATTCAGTGTGCTGGTTGTGAGCTGGACCTGGACCAAAATTCCATATGTTTCCTGGTTTCCATATGCTACAGTGCCATGGTAATGCTTCAAGTCACCCCATATCAGTGTCAACTCAGACCATATACCAAGCAGTCTTTGAAATGTCTGGGCGTTTTTTTCCCCCAATGTACAATTACTTGAGTAAATGGCCATAAGCACTTTGGGGAGGACTTAGGGAATCATTGCCGTGGACACTTGCTGTGATGTCTCCAAGTCCTACCTCCTTGGAGCGCCAGTTCCTCCTTCAGGTAGTTGTCTCTCGCTCTTAAAACTGGCTGAGGTGTTTAAAATGGGCCAGAGGTTGTGACTTTATATTGCAGACAGTAATCATCCTCCCTCCCTCTTTGATTTATTTTAATTGTGTAAGCTATACCCTGTTGATCCCCCTCCCCCAGCCATCTCTCTTGCTGCTAAGAACATTATACTCTATAAATCATCCTCATATCACCAGCTCTAAAATTTCATTTTAGATTTTGCTTCCTTGGTCCATATCTGATGTAAACTGCCTTAGGTTGGATTCCCTGGAAAACAGATTCTGCAACGAAAATTTACTTGTAGGAGGTTCACTGGGGAGTATTTTCAGGAATAACTATTTACAAGGGAACAAGAAAAGTCTGGGCAGATGTTGAACTGTGATTCAGTTATAGCTGGACCCAGTCAATGGCACAGGGTGCCCTAAAGTTGTGATGGGTCTTCAGAAATATCCAGAATTGAGAGAAGGGGATTGGGCACTGGGTGCAGGATGTTCCTTGGCAAAGGCTGTACCCCTTGACTGATGTCAGTTCTGGAGGGAAGTTCAGCTCTGAGCCATCAGCCTGCAAAATTGCTGGTAGCTGGGAGAATAAACCTGTCACTCCTGAAGTGGAGAATCTGAGCAGTGTACCCTACTATCACTTCAGTGCTTTTCTGGAACCAAATGAGCAATTAATTTCTGGCCCCTTCTATTTTAATTCCTATCTATGAGTACCTGATATTTTAAAAACTAGTGCTGAGGTCTAGATAAATCCTATTCAGTTTTAATTTGAGGTTACCATTATTTTGAAAATAAGTTTGGACTCCCGGCCAAGATGGAGGTGTAGGTAGACACACTGTGCCTCCTCGCACAACCAAAAGAAAGACAACATCAAATTTAAAAACAAAAAACAACCAGAACTGCCAGAAAATCAAACTGTATGGAAATCTGACAAGCAGGGAGCTAAAGAAGAAACATCCAGACTGATAGGAGGGGTGGAGACAGACAGGTGGGTCAGAGAGGACTCATGGTAAGGCAGTGGCTGGAGGACCAGGAGGTCCCACATTTGCGTGCAGATAAACCAGGAGGAACAACTGGAGAGTGAGACAGACCACACAACCCAGGGTTCCAGCCCAGGGAAATAAAGCCTCAGAAACTCTGACTGTAAAAACCTGTGGGGGTTGTGGCAGTGGGAGAGACTCCCAGCTTCATAGGAGAGTTCATTGGAGAGACCGACAGGGTGCTTGAACATACAAACCCACCTACCCAGGAATCCACACCAGAAAAGCCCAATTTGCTTTTGGATAGTGGGGAAAGTGACTGAAAAAATTAGCCCAGAGTTGAGCAAGCAACATTGTTCCCTCTCTGACCCCTCCCCCAAAGACACTGCCAAAACACAGTGATGGGGGTTGCCCCACCCTGACAAATACCTAAGGCTCTGCCCCTTAAAATGTAACAGGAGTGCCAAGACAAAGAAATATGGCCCAAATGAAAGAACAGATAAAAGCTCCAAAAATACAACTAAGCAAAAAAGAGATAGCCAACCTATCAGATACAGAGTTCAAAACACTAGTTATCATAAGGATGCTCACATGTATGGTTGAGTATGGTTGCAAAGTGGAGGTGAAAGTGGAGGCATATCATAACTACATTACCCAAAATGAGAGAGAAGGAGTGAATCTTAAAAGCAGCAAGAGAAAAGGAGACAGTTACCTACAAAAGAGTTCCCATAAGACTATGGAGGCGTTTTGAGAAATTAGTTCAGCTGATTTCTCAAAAGAAACCTTGAAGGCAAGAAGGGGCTGGAAAGAAGTATTCAAAGTCATGAAAAGCAAGGACCTACATCCAAGATGATTCTATCTAGCAAAGCTATCATTTAGAATGGAAGGGCCAATAAAGGCCCTTCCCAGATAAGGTCAAGTTGAAGGAATTCATCATCACCAAGCCCTTATTATTTGAAATGTTAAAGGGACTTATCAAAGAAAAAGAAGATAAAAACATGTACAGTAAAATGACAGCAAACTCACAATGATCAACAATGGAACCTAAAAGAAAAGCAAAAACTGAAACCAAGCAAGCAAATAGAACAGGAACAGAATCACAGAAATGGAGATCACATGGAGGGTTGATAGCAGGAAAGGGAGAGGAGCAATGGTACAGGGAATAAGTAACATAAATGGTAGGTACAAAATAGACAAGGGGAGGTTAACAATAGAATAGGAAATGGAGAAGCCAAAGAACTTATATGTACAACCCATGGACATGAACTAAGATGGGGGAATGCTGGTGGGCGGGGGGTTGCCGAACAGAGGGGAATAAAGGGGAAAAAATGAGACAACTGTAATAATATAATCAATAAAATATACTTTAAGAAAATAAGTTAGGCCCTGGCTGGTGTGGCTCAGTGGTTGAGTGCTGGCCTGTGAACCAAAGGGTGTCCCTGGTTTGATTCCCAGTCTGGGGCACATGCCTGGGTTGCAGGCCAGGCCCTCCGTGTGGGGCATGTAAGAGGTAATCACACATTGATGTTTCTCTCTCTTCCTCCCTCCTTTCCCCTCTCTAAAAAATAAATAAATAGTCTTTTAATAAATAAGTAAGTTAGAATGGAGATCCTTTAAACAGAAAAATATACTTATACAATGTGTGTTTACTCTTTATGAGAATTGCAGGGAGCTAGAAGACAAGAAAAAGATTCAGAATCTCTTGGCTCTTGTGAGAACAGACACTGGAGAAGTGACCTATTTTTTTAAGGAGCCTCCCAACAAAGTAAGTAATTTTTGGTTTAGGTAGCATGGTGAATAGGGCTTTTACAAACTAAAGTTTCAGGTCCATAGTCAGTGCCATTTTGGTGCTTGCTAAGAAGTTAGAAGAATTAGCTATCATACTCCCATGTCTACCTAAGTTCTTAGAGCATTTTCTATAATTACAAAGAGCTTTATGATTTTATTTTTCTTCAGAATTCTTGGGAAGTAGCATTGTTGTACCCATTTCACTACTTGGAAGCCTAAAGCACAGAGGAATAGATATTTTCGTTGAGATTAGAGAGGAAGGCAGGATCAGACTTGTTTCAATACCCAAGTTTCTTCTTTAATCTTTGTTTATACTGATTACAAAAATAATAAAAACACAAACAGAAATCTATCATATATAAGTGATAGTTTCCCATAATATATACCCCAGAGATAAAACTATTTTTCTGCTCACATAGAGTTGTATGTGTATATACTATTCACATTTTTAATTCCTCTAAACAGTGCCTCAGTGAGCGTCTTTATACATATCTACATATATATGTACGTGTGTGTGTGTATACACATCTGTGTTTCTGTTACATTCCTAAAGGTCCTTGTCAAAGACCACAGTTTTTACGCAGATGTTACAAAATTACCCTGAAGGGTTTTGTTTGTTTGTTTATTTTTAGCTTTTATCACCAACAGTGGGTTTTATCCAATTTGTTACTTTGTCTACTTTGGTCTCATATGTATGATATTCCTATATGATTGTATCCATTTTGACCAATTTAATTTCTGAGTAGTGTTTATCTGTGGCACCAAAGGTAAAAAGTGTAACATCACATATACAGGAAGGCTATTTCTGTACCTTCTTTTTTCTTTTTCAGGTCAGCATTCTCCAAAAGACTATCCAGGCTGTAGATACATGTGAACAGAATGAATCTTCAGCTTTCAGAGCAGGTACCAACTATATAATAAATTCTCATTGATACAGAATTCAAAAACATGGTGTAAATAATTAGAAAAATTTCCCTACTATACAATGATAATGAATGTTTATAATGATCCTCTGGTAATCTTAGATCTTACTGAGGTTTCTTTTTTTATCTTTTGTTTTGTTTTTACCTTTCCATGATGTTTTAATGGAGTAAAAATAAAAAATATATAATTAACATGCTTACGGTGATAAGTCATAAAAGAAACTTGTACAACTTTTGGAATTACAGAATATTATTTAACCTCTCTAAGCCTCAGTCATCTTTCTTTAATGGAAATCTTAATTTTCCTTCTTTTTTAAAAAAATTGTTGTATAATTGATAATATAACTATATTCATTTCAGGTGTACAACCTAATGGTTTGATACTTTATATGTTACAAAATGATCACTACAGTAAGTCTAGTTAACATCTGTTACCACACAGAGTTTCAGTTTTTTTTCTTATAGTGAGAACTTTTAAAATCTCTCTTAGCATGAGGTTCTTGAATTATTCACGAAGTTAAATTTTGTTCTGTGCTTTAACAATAATTTTGTCTTTTCAAAACTGGGTGATACATATTTAGATTTAGTTTTTTAGTTTTTACCCTTACTCTGATTAAAAAAGATTTTTACACAGGAAATAAGATTTTACACAGGAAATAAATACAACTTCAAAGGAAAATTTAGTAGTTTATTCTTTAGAAAGCTGGATGGATATTATTATCCAGGTGACATTTAGCAGAGTTCCCTTGTAGAGGTTCCTATTTGAAAAATTAAGCACTACAATTATTGTATGTTTTCCTTTTTCTTTCTTGCCTTTTCTTGTAGGTAAATGAAACTGACCTACTATGCAAAGGTAATGCTGATACTTGAATAGCAGAAAGAAAAGCTAAATAAAGGTCTTTAATTTTTTTTTCTTATTTTAGATTCTAAAGTAAGCAATAGAAAACCAGCTATGAGAGAGAAGAAAGAAAGTTCTGAGCAGTACCAAAGAGACATACAGACACTCATCTTACAGGTAAAGAATTTATTTTGGCAGACCAGAACAATTTCTATCCGAAGCTTATTTTGAGTATCACACCTTCACTGCCATGTAAGTATCTCCTTGCATACATGTAATATCTAGGCATCATGAGATTAAGAAAACTGAGGTTATTCCTAGTTTACAGAACCTTGTATTTTAAAAACTATTATTTTGTATTAACCATTCTAGAGGTGCTATTGTGAACCCTCAGTTCACTCAGCTTATGTGCTAATCCCTATGCAACAAAACCATCGCACAGTAAGAATTTCTTTTGTGGTTGCCTGGGGGATACACAGAGAGTTGCAGTTGTCTGTGCTGATAGATCAAACTTTGGGGGTATATCAGTTTATTTGTGCATGTGTTCCAGGTCTAGGAGAGTAATTCAGCATCCTCTTACCACCTGGTAATAGTCTGTCATTTGCAACCACAATTTCTCATCTAGTTACACTCAAATTCTGTCATTATCAGGGGGGCTCTGTTGATTTAAATGGCAGTTCCTATCTTTGGCCAATATCTCCATTTGTAGTCATGACAGCCAGACTCAGATAAGGAAGTTACATTATACTCATTTTGCTCCACTTTTTAAATTAAAAAAAGAAGAAAAGAGTCATTCTATTTCTATGCCACTAGGCAGTCTTAAAGATGAGACACTGCTTCAAGTTTAAAAGGGAAGATAGTGAAGAGGTGGGAATAGAGGAAATTGGGTTTTCTAGCTGTCTCTGTGTGACACAGATGCTTTACTGTGTGTGAAATCTCCTCTTGTGTAGCCTAACCCCATTTATATGTCACTAAGTAAAGAGGAGTGCCCAGTGAGGCCTTTCTACTATTTGTTTTGCTGCTGTCTTTTTTTCGTTTTTTTGTGGGGGTTTTTGTTTTTTATTTCTTTTCTGGAGAAAGGCTGGCTTTTGGAGGGAAAGAACAAGAGGAAGCAGGGCAGGAGTGGATGCCTCACCCTTTCTGGCTTGTCTAGGTGGAAGCACTGCAGGCTCAGCTGGAAGAACAGACCAAGCTTTCTAGAGAGCAAGTTGAAGGGCTCATGGAGGATAGACGGATTCTCATTGAGGAAATACAAGTTCATCACCAAAGAAATCAGGACAGAATCAAAGAGCTTACCAAAAAGTGAGTGTTCAAGGAAGCCATACCTAACAGATTTAAAATTTTTTCTGAGTGGCTTAAAAGATAATGGCCCTGTACTTTTGCAACATAGTATCATGGAACTGCCAGGACCCTTGAACCAGTTGTCTTTATCAGACATCTCTGCCTCTACGTTGGTGGGTATCCAGGCTTGTCCAGGAATGCTGTTGACTCTTTTCTTGAGGAATCAAGGGTTGCTATTTCACACACTCAGTGTAACCCATTTTGGTGCTTTAGCTTGATCTTAGTGATTAAGAAATGTTCTTTTAGCCACTGATATGTTATCTGACTCAATATAGTAGGGCCCTTTTCTTTTGTTTGGCCCTTCATGAAAATGGAAAAATATGATTGACACACCTGTACAAAAAAAAGACACAAACTCTCTGTACTCACTGCTTTTTTTTTTTTCTTACCTGCCTGCATTTCCTCACCTTTCTGCAGTGTGATTTCATCCCCATCATAGTACTGAGCGTGCCCTTTCTAGGGTCGACACTGACTTCTTAATTTCTCTGACCAGTTATCTCTTTATAGCCCTCGTCGTGATCAGTATCTGTTTGCATGTTTGGCACCTCTGGTCCCTCTGACTTTGGAGTTAATCTCCCTTGATTTCTCCAATGCCTGTCTTTTTCGGTTCTTCTACCTATCTAACCCTCCTCTGCCTTTTGTGTGGTACCAGTGGCCAGACCTGTGCTATAAAGATATCTTCAGTTGAATATGTTTCAACACCACTTTTGGTCCTTGCACAGAGGGGAATAAGTTCATGAAAAAAAGGACTTAGTGTGAATGCCATTTCTTCCACTTTCGGTTTCTGTGCCTTTCCCAGGGCTTCCAACAGCAAAATACTGGGACAGAGCTTTTGGAGGCTCACAAACTCTGTGGTCCGTGGGAGCCACTGTGAGGAGGGCCCAGGAAAAAACTTGCCATTTTCACTGGAAAACGGGGCAGTTACTAGCTATGATGACTGTAGTTTGCATCTGGATTTGCCACACTGTTCTTTTAATAAGACACCAACTGCTTAAAAAAATAAGGATGTTTTCGTTAATCCATGAAACAGATATGAAGAGGAGCATTCTCTTTTAAAAATGTATCAAACTGTTGAAGTCAACATACTAGATGTGTTTGTAAATAAATTTATGGAATGAATCCTTAATGCCACTTTTCTGGTGGTGGGGCAGGGGGAGAATGTGATTGAACACCTCAGATTGACCATATTGAATCCAATATGTTTTTCTTCCCCAATAAGCACCCCTCCCCCATCTCAAACCTATTACTTCATTCTTTTCCTGTTTAATTTGATGACATCACATCCAGTTTCCCAAACTTGAAACATAACGATTATCCTGAACTCCCCACTTTTATTCCCTCATTATAAACCCTATGCAGTGCAAGCCTAAGAAACCTCTCAAATCCATTCTCTGCTCTCATTCTTACTGCATAGGCTCAAGTTACATTGCTTAAATCTTTGCAGTAACCTAAATGTACTTCCTCTCACTGCTTCCTTTGTATTCTGTACTCTTCCTCACTGTCACTAGTAGCTCCTCCATCAGGACTTACCAAATGCTTGAAAACATTTGATAGCTCCCTGTGTATCTTATGATAAAGCCCTGATATCTCAGCATCAATTTTTAGGGACTTCATCTGGCACTAAATTAACCTTTCAGCCCCACCTCCTTTTCTGTTGCTGTAGTTTACTTTGTCTTTCAGCCAAACTAATGATAACCATTGTTCATGGAACACTTGCTCTGTGGCCGGTCCCTTGCTATGCAGTGTCATCCTTCTCTGAAGACTTCCACAGGCAGAATTAAGTTTTCTTCATCTGCATTCCCATAATGATTAACATGCCTCTGTGATGAATACCTATCATAATTATGTCTTTGTTCCTCCAGGGTCTAGCCCTGTGTCCATAACAGGAGCACAATAAGCATCTGTTGAACAGTTGATGATGCTTACCAAGTTGCATCTACAATCTCTTTTCTATGATGAACATCCAACATTTTAAAATAATATTTTTTCATGTTACATTCTTCATCTCTTTATTGTTTTTTTTTTCCTCAAACTTTTCTAGAGTCTCTTCCTCCATTTTAAAATGTGGCAATTAAAATTGTATGTGATACTCAATTAAGATTTCTGACCAATGCAGGATAGAAAATGCCTTATTTTAGGTATTTTGTGCTTAAGCACAAAGCTTTCACTTTTCAGTGGATTTTCATTGTTTTTTAAGGGAACAGTATTTTTTAATTGTCATAATAATTTTTGATTTTTAATCTGTTTTCCAGAATATATATATATATATTTTTTTTTTTAATTTTGTTTTTCATGTTTTCCAGAATATTAATAATCGGCTTAGTTTAGCATCATCTGCATGTCTGAGGACATGATCAGTTCCTTCCACTATGTCATCCTGAGGATATTAAATGGCATGAAATTCAAGGCCATTGATGACTGCCCTTTGGATGTCACTTTCACCATTTGTACATTAACAAGTTCATACTTCCCACTTTTTAATTGAGAGCATAATGTAAGAATAAAATAACTCATTGAAAGGAAGAGAGGACCTTGTAACTAAATCAGTCTCTCCCTCTTTATACACACATACATACACCTGGAAAATATATATATTTTTTCATCTGCTGACAATTATTGTACTTTTTGCCTGGCATTATGCTATCATTTTTCCTTGTCTATGTGCCCTGTTACTCATGAAAAGAGTTAAGTGGACCTGACATTAGTTGTTCAGTGGAAAAGTAGAGTGATCGCCTCATAGTACTTAATACTCTTTGCAAATAGTTTGATTACTTGATACAGTATTTTTCTAGTTGTTGATGTTAAACTGATGGATTGCTTAGTTCTAGGGATATTCTTTGTTGATGATAGAAACATCATTTTACTATTTCCAAATCTCAGTAGTCAGCAGAAATCTATTTAGTGTCTTGTGTATGTCTAGTAGTTGCTTCTGTCCTTGACAGTTTGGTGGTAGCAGGGCAAAAATAAATGACAAACAAGTACATACTTTCATTCAGGTTGGAAAACTTGTACGTTGACAGTTAAAACATGAGAGTATATTATAAGCAAGCTGAATTATAACACAGGAGACTAGATTTAAGCTGATAAGGAATTTCAGACAATGGAGAAATTAAATGGGCTAAAGTTGTCAAGATGACTTCACAGAGGAAGTTGACCTTGAAAACAACATAAGATTTGATATCAGGTAGTTCACCTGTAGAGCACAGCTGAACAAAAACAAAGCTGTTTCTGATATTTTAGAATTTGTGTTAACCCTCAGTCAGAGCACCATGAGTTAGGTTCTTTATTGTAAAGTCTAGTGCCTGAGAATAGTCCATACTTGTGCAGGCTTTGTGTAAATTTTTTTATTTAGTCCTTCTGATTATGTAGCCTGAAATTAGCACTTGGCAAAATATCTGTAAAGACCAGTTTGTGAACCATGAGCATGGGTAGCTATATTACATTCTGTCCAATATAACATGTAGGATTGTGAGTGATCAGATTAAGCATATTTTTTAAACTAATAATATTTTATTTTATTTACTTACTTTTAGAGAAAGGGGAAGGAAGGGAGAAAGAGAGGGAGAGAAACATCAATGTGTGAGATTTGGTTGTCTCTCACATGCCCCCAGCGGGGGACCAGACCCACAACCCAGGCATGTGCCCTGACTGGGAATAGAACCAGTGACTTCTCAGTTTGCAGACTGGTGCTCAATCCACTGAGCCATACCAACCAGAGCTAAAACTGCTAACAATATTTTACAGGATTTATATATTGGACAGTTTTTAAAGAACCTGTGTCTTTCTTTCATTTGGAGTAAGTGTGCCGTATGTGCTGTGTAAACATCTTCATGTTCACATTTGTGCTTTCAGTCTTCATCACACCCAGGAACTGCTCTATGAGAGTACCAAAGACTTTTTGCAACTCAGATTTGAAAACCAAAATAAGGAGAAGTTGTGGATGCTTGAAAAGGATCATTTGGTGTCAAAGATTAAGCAATACAGGGTACAGTGTAAGAAGAAAGAAGATAAAATTGGAAAAGTTTGGCCAGTTATTCATGAGAGTCATCGTAAACAAAATGAATATATTAAGGTACTTCTATGTATCTTACAGAAATTGTTGGGGGTTTTTTTCCCCTATAAGAATTTGAAAGAAATCAGAGAATTTCAAAGAACCTAAGAATTATCATACCAGATTCATTCAGTCCAGGAAGCTGATGTAGCAATAACCTCAAGAAATAGGTTTCAAGAGTAGCTCATCATTATAGTGTTTGTAGATTTAGAAAATCAAATGATCAGTTGATTCATTCACTCATTCATTTCATTCAACAGACATTTAATGCACTCCTACTATGGGCTAGGCTCTGGGGCTACAGCAGTAAATAAGCTTGACCAGGTTTGATATCATGGTATTTACATCTTAGTGGGTGAGAACAGAAACATTAACAGAGGAAATGATTGATTAAGAAAAGGTGATATTAAGGAATTAAAAGTATTAGATGAAGATTATATATATGTAGTTGCTGGAAGTCTACTTTTATGGAGAGGCACAGGGAGATTCTCTTAAGTTTGGTGTTTTTACTGAGACCTAAAAAATGGGACTGAGCTTGCCGTAGGGATCTAGGGGAAGGGCATTCCAAGGAGAAGGAAGAGCAAGTTTAAAGGCCCTGGAGTATGTATGTTCAAACTGAAGTGGTACACAAGGAGGTCGGAGGGGTGGCCCTCTGTGATTGACTGCTATGTACCCCTGCAGCTTCCTTGTGTACCACTTCTTCCTTGCTTATTTCTCTATAACCACGACTTTGTTCCTTTTCTTATACTCCAGGGCCTTTAAAGTTGCTCTTCCCTGTCCCAGGAATGCTCCTCTAGGTCTGTATATAAGGAAGTAATATAATCTTATTTAGCTTACTTTATTTTATTATTATTATTTTTTTATTTATGAGAGAAAAACATCAATCGGTTGCTTCTCTTACGTGCCCTGACCAGGGATTGAACCTGCAACATTTTGGTGTACAGGTGACACTCGAACCAACTGAGCCACTCAGCCAGGGCTTATTATTTAGCTTTTTAAAAGATCATTTCTGACTGCTCAATAGAACATGTATAATAAGTGTTGTTGCTGTTTCTTTCTTTTTAAAGAACTTCAGAAATGTGTCCCAAACATATAAAATAGTCCCTTGGTATCTGCAGGGGATTGATTCCAGATACCAAAGTCCATGGTTGCTCAAATGTCTTATATAAAATGGCATAGGGTTTGTATTAACCTACACACATTCTCCCATATACTTTATTTATTTATGTTTAAAGATTTTACTTATTTACCTTTAGATAGAGGGGATGAAGGGAAAACGAGAGAGAGGGCAAAACATCAATGTGAGAGAGAGACATTGCTGTCTCTTATACGCCCCCAAGTGGAGACGTGGTTGGCAACCCAGGCATGCCCCCCGACTAGAATGGAACTGGCAACCTTTTGGTTTGCAGGATGACACCCAGTCTACCAATCCATACTAGTCAGGGTATCCGATGTACTTTAAATCATCTCTACTCATAATACCTAATACAGTGTAAATCGTTGTTATACAGCATTGTTTAGGATGGCGGTTTTCAACTTGTGTGCCATAAGAATTTTTAAAACATGCAATTCCTGACTACTTAGTCAGGAACACAGGCCTCTTTTCCCTTACATTGTCAAAAAAAAAAAAGAAAAAGAAGAAAATGACAATAGCCAATACAACAATAGCCATTTGGTGTGAATGAATCAAAATTATACCTATTTTTCTGTCAGATTGGCAAAACAAAATATTTTTTGGTGTGCCGCAGAACCTTAGTAATTTGTTTATGTGTGCCATGCGATGAAAAGGGTTGAAAATCGCTGGTTTAGGGAATAATGAAAAAAATGTTCAGTAGGCCTAACTGCACAGTACATGTCAGCAACAATGTGCCCTTTTTAAATAATATTTCTCTTCTGTGGTTGGTTGAATCCATGGATGTGGAACCTGCGGATATGAGGGCTGACTATGTTCGTATGTCTTACTTGGGACAATTCTGAAGTCTGTTATCTACTCTTCACAGAGCCAAAATACTTGTTTTATTTTAAAGGATTTCTACTATGTACAACTTTGGGAAAAAGCTTAAGAGAATTCTCTTTCAAATGTTCTCCACAGTTTTTGCTGTCCTGTTACTTAACTCATCTGTACTTCAGTAAATCCCTTCATTCATTTCTTTCTTTATGTAAATGCTATTTGAAGTACCTAAATCATAGAACCCAGTAATATTTTTTTCCCTTTTGACCCACAGTCCTTAAAGGATAAGTTAGTACAAGAGAAAAAGCTGTCCAACATGTACCAAGAGCAGTGCATTTCCCTAGAAGAAGAACTTGCCCGAATTCGTGAGGAAGAGGGAGTGAGGAGAGAGATCTTCAAGGTACCAGATTCTCTGCCATTTATGGTGGTGTGGGAGGTCAGATGGCTCAGGGAACACTTCCCTCATCGTCACGAATGCCTTCTCATTTCCCTGTATTTAGGACCGCTCTAACAAGATGGGGAAGCGTTTACAGGTAATGACAAAACGCTATGAAGCCTTGGAGAATCGGCGTATCTTGGAAGTAGAAGGCTTTAAGACAGATATAAAGGTTCTCCGGCAGAAACTGAAAGACTTGGAGCAAATGCTTTATAAGGTAATTGCTGATGCTGAATCATTAAAAGGCAGAAAAGGGGTACAGGTGAGAACACATGGTCGTGAGTGCTCCTCAGAAGAGAGAAGAGCTATTTCCCTGACGCCAGGTACTTAGAGATCAACATCCTTCAAGTCTCAGTAAAATTGGTTGAACAAGTACATGCTAGAGAGAAGACAAAAATAGGTTAAACAATTGAATGACTATCATTATACTTTTATATAAGCTAACTTAACAGAAATTTATATCCTTCCCAATTCAAGAAGTAGATTAAAAGAACTGTGTCCATATTACAAATAGGGAAAATGAGTATTTGAGTAATAAAGTATTTTTTCCTACCAGACACAGCTTTACTTAGAAACAGAGTTGTCTCAAGAGCCTTCTTATAGAGATTTAACCAGTTATCCACATATTCGAAATGATCAGTGTTCCAAACAAAAATTGATTATAAAAAAGATGAGGTAATTTCTCTGGCAAATTCACCAGTGATGCTTATATTGGTCTCTTCTTTTTACTCATTGTTAATTGTTTGTTGATCTCTATCCCAGGTCTCCTTTACTGTTGTGTGGGAAAGCAGAGTCTCATACCCTCTTTTACTCCAAATTTTCCATCTTAGTCACTAAAACTAAGGATTGAATTTACCTTCTGTACCAAATGTGTCATAAAAAGGAGCCAGCATAGCCTGGTCTTTATGACTGCTTTGTCTCCTCTGGCATATGTTCTAATCTTTTTTCCTCCCCCCAAATCTCTAGGCAACACTTAATGCCCGGGCAAACCAGGATCTTGCCGTTCTGTGTGAGGTTCGTGACAGCAATAGACGGGCACATAAGATTCAAGGAGAACTGAAGAACCTAAAGTCCAAAGTATTTGGTCTGGAGAATGAACTTAGACTCTGTTGATGTTTACTCTTAGAAATGGCCCTGGTCAGTAGTAAGTCTGCTTTCTGGAATCTGATAAACATGTCATCTTCTCCCAGAGCTGTAGGTGGAATTGACTAGGGTGGTGGTATCCTTTATTATAAAGACAGGGTGAAGAATCAGGGACCACTAAAAAAAGCCTTTCTTGCATGCTAAACTTTATAATTTTTGCTGTCCTGTTAACTTCTTTGTCTGGATTAGAACCTAAATTACTTAGAAACTTTCCCACATTATTTTTTCCAATTATAATGAGAGGTTTTTATCTTTTAAGAAGACAGTAACCATGAAAACTCAGGAAGAAAGGATATTTGCTGTGATCTTGGCTGAGTGGCAATAGGAGAAACACTTTTCTTGAGGAGATAAAGGCGCCCACCAAGGTTGCCTTTCTCGTGGGCACATCACAACTGTTGAATGTGAATAGGCAGTAATTCTGCCAATTTAACTTTCTGTTTTGGGAAGCTGTGAGGCCTTACTTTTATAGACACCCAATCTCATGAAGTTTCACCAGAGGGCGATAGAGACTCTACTCTTAAGCAAAGTATTTATCAAGGAAAATAAATGTGGCACTTTGGTAAGAGTGAGTTAAACTTAAGTGATCCTTGTATGAAAAGTTCAGTATTGTACCAATAACATGTTTTTTAAAAAAAATAATGTATATATTTTAAATTAACTCTTTTCAATAAAATGTGTAATTGAAAATATTCTCTTTGAGTTTTCTGTAATTTCTTGTTAAAAACCACACGATACTTTGTTAATAGTTCTGTTTACTTACGTGTCCCATGGTCTTTGTGGTCCTGTACAGGCAGTAAAGTTTTCCTAAATGCGTCCCTTGAAATCATCTGGTATTAGAGGTAGCGAAGATATTTCTAAAGGCGATGGCACTAAGACTTCATCCATTTTTTCCATCTATAGCCTTTTTTAGGCAAATGGCTGTGTGTTTGAGGCAAAATAATTGCGTGTTTACCTAGATAGCCTCTAAGAAATCAGTCTAGCTTAGTATGGCATCTTGTGATTTACTCAGGGCAGAGCAATGAAGAACAGGTTTTCATATTTGTGTGAAGGAAAGTAGTAATTAAAATGGTCAGTAGAAGATGCTGTCTTTTTTTTTAAGCCTTTGAAAACAGATCATGTTTTTTACTAATAAATTGGGACAGAAATTCCCAGAGGCACCAGTCCTGAGCTTTAGAGAGATGTCCATAAGTGAATGGTTCTTACTTTTGTCCTAATATTTCAGGAATTGGCTTTTCATGACTTGCTGTTTTGATGCTGGGCAAAACACAAAACCCTGTTGAATCAGAATTTCATAGTAAGAAAGAGTCTTAGAGATGATATAATACAAATTTTGAATTTTATATGTGACTCTGAGGCTTACCACTATTGACTTAAGCTATCAGTTGATAGTTACTAATACCCTGGCCTCAATTCCAATGACATTCATTTTCATATTAACCACCCACTAATGTAGTCTATCTCTAACCATCACCAATAAATGGTAAAGAGTAGTGGAAAGAGTCTGCCTGGGCTTTGGAGAATCACAGATGTAGCTTCAATCTTGCCTCTTCCTAAAACCCTCAAGGGTGTAGTCTCTTCATCTGTAAAAGAGAGAGAAGTCTATCTGTTTAGTGAGGCAATTGTGAGGATTAAGAGAAAATCTAATATCCAGAATATATAAAAAAAACGTACAACTCAACAATAAAAAATTGCCAAGGGATCTGGATAGATTTTTCTCTAGAGAATATATACAAATGGCCAATAAGCACATTAAAAGATGCTCAACATCATTAATTGTTGGAGAAATAGAAAACAATAGTGACATACCACTTCATGCCCACTAGGGTGGCTATAATACAAAAGAGTAGGTGCTGATGTAGGTGAGGGGAGACTAGGAGCCTGGCTTGGGGAACCATGTGTTTAGTGACAGCATTAACTGAGATTTAGCATATGTGGGAAGCAGTAGGTTTCCAGTAAATGTTTATTTTTATTGATTTTAGAGAGAAAGAAACATTGATTTTTTTTTCTCTACTTATTCATGCATTCATTGGTTGATTTTTTAAAAGATTTTATTTATTTTATTTTTAGATTGCGGAAGGGAGGGAGAAAGAGAGGGAGAGATGTATGATTGCCTGTTGCACACCCCCTACTGGGGACCTGGCCCACAACCCAGGCATGTGCCTTGACTCAAAACGGCAACTCTTTGGTTTGCAATCTGGCACTCAATCCATTGAACCACACCAGCCAGGGCCATTGGTTGATTCTTGTATGTGCCCTAACCAGAGATTGAACTCACAATCTTGGCACATCAGGATGACACTGTAACCAACTGAACTATTTACTCCGGGCCAATCCAGTAAATTTGAGATTATGGATTAATAATATGTGAGGTCAGGACTTCCAGTCAAGATGCCAACATAGGTAGACATGGCTTGCCTCCTCTCACAACCACATCAAAATTACAACTAAATTATAGAACCACCATCACCCAGAACGGTCAGAAATTGAGTTGAATGGAAGTCTGACAACTATGGAACTAAAGAAACCACAGCCATTCAGACAGGTAGGAGGGGCAGAGGTACAGAACAGGCTGGTCCCACACATGGTGGCTAAAAATTTGGGAGGGATGCATTGGGAGTGAGGAATCCTAGCCCCACACCAGGCTCCCCAGCATAGGGTTCCAGTGCCAGGAATATAAGTCTCCATAACTTCTGGCTATGAAAACCAGTGGGGATTGAGTCAGTGGAAGAAACTTCTGGGATTTCAAGCATTTCCTCTTGAAGAACCCACACATGGACTTACTCAGACTCACTCTCTCTGACCTCCAGCACTAGGGTAGCAGCTTGAAAGGCACCAGTGACAAACAGGGAGAAACTGAAGTGTCTGGCATCAAGGCAAGAGCTGGTGGACAGCTTTCTCCCAGACAGAAAGGCGGGCCGAGGACATTGTTCCTCTTCTGAACCCTCTCTCTGCAGAGCCACAGAACAGGCCATATCTGAGACTCTATGGATCTGGCTAACACTGTTTGCCCCACCTTGGAGATCCCTAGAGACTCTGTCCCACCCAACTTTTAGGCCCACCCAAGCTGCTTTTCCATATTTATGGCTGGTCTTGGCTCATGCTTCATAACCTCCTAAATCCTCTCAAGCAACAGTTGGCCTCAGTGAGTCCTATGCCCCTGTGCCTCTTGCTGAGTGGTCCCAGGCACAGCACTAGCAGTAGCCAGCCTAGCTTCACACCTTGGCTTTGTCTGGGAATCTCCAAGCCCAGCACTAGTAGCAGTGATCTCAGATTGCTTTATAGCTCAGTCAGGGTGACCCAGGCAAAACACAGGTGGGAGCTGATCTTAGCATGCACCACCCAGGAAACTCCAGAGCCTACGCACCCAGTAGACATCTACAGACCATGTTGCAGCACCAATACCCGGCCCCTGCACAGTTGATCCTCCACAGAGAACAGAGGTTGGTGGTCAGTAGTCACAGCCAGTCTTTGCAGCTGGCTGGCCTGGGAAAATCCCTCCCATTGAACTACCAACAGAAATCAAGGCTCAATTGCAAAAGAAGCATGTACTCAGCCCACACAAATGGCACACCTCCAATAATCCAGCTTGAGTGATAGGGAAGGCTATGCCACTGGACCCTACAGGAGACCCATTACATTAGGCCATACTACCAAATACAGAGTCAAAGCAGCTCTACTTAGTACACAAAAAAGTACACAAAAACAAACACAGGGAGGCTGCCAAAATGAGCAAATAAACATGGCCCAAATAGAAGAACAGATCAATCAAAATTCCAGAAAAAGAACTAAACAAAATGGAGATACTCAATCTATCAGATGCAGAGTTAAAAACACTGGTTATAAGGTTGCTCAAAGAACCTCAAGCAGCATAAAAAAAGACCCAGTCAGAAACAAAGGGATCCAATCACTATTGAAATAAAGAACAATTTACAGGGAAACAGCAGTAGAGTGGAGGAAGCCAAGAATCAAACCAGTGATTTGGAACATAAGGAAGTAAACACCAACCACTCTGAACAACAAGAACAAAATAAATTAAAAAAAAGAAAGAAGGATAGTGTAAGCAGCCTCTAGGACAACAAGTATTCCAACATCCACATCAGAGGGGTGCCAGAAGGAGAAGAGAAAGCAAGAAATTGGAAATCTATTTGAAAAAATAATGAAAGAAATTTTTCCTAATTTGATGAAGAAAATACACATGCAAGTCCAGGAAATACAGAGTCCCAAACAAGATGGATGCAAAGTGGCCCACTCCAAGACACATAATTAAAATGCGAAAGTTTAAAGATAAAGAGAGAATCTTAAAAGCAGCAAGAGAGGAATAGTTACCTACAGGGGAATTCCCATAAGACTGTCAGCTTATTTTTCAAAAGAAACTTTCTTTGCAGTCTAGAAGGGATTCCAAGAAACACTAAAGTCATGAAAAGCAGGGACCTACAGCCAAGATTGCTCTTTACAGCAAAGCTATCATTTAGAATTGAAGGGCAGATAAAGAGCTTACCAGACAAGAAAAAACAAGGAGTTCATCACCACCAAACCATTATTATGTGAAATGTTAAAGGGACTTATTAAGAAAAAGGAGAAGATCAAAACTATGAACAATATAGTGGCAATAAATACATTTCTAACCACAATTGAATCTAAAAAAACAAATTAAGAACTTCTGGCCAAGATGGAGGTGTCTGTAGATACACTTTGCCTCCTCGCACAACCCAAAGAAGGACAACAACAAATGAAAAAAAAAATTACCAGATATGCCAGAATCAAACTGTAGGGAAGTCTGATAACCAAGGAGTTAAAGAAGAAATATTCATTCAGACTGGTAGGAGGGGCGGATCAGAGACAGGCAGCCAGGACGGAGAGGACTTGTGGCAAGGCAGCCACTGGAGGACCAAGCAGGCCCACATCTGCATGCAGATAAACCGGGAGGAAAACAGGAGCAAGATAGACGAGCAACCCAGGGTTCCAGCATGGCAAATAAAGCCTCAAAACCTCTGGCTATAAAAACCTGTGAAATTTGCAGTGGTGGGAGAAACTCCCAGCTTCACAGGAGAGTTCACTGGAGAAACCCACAGGGTCCTAGAATGTACACAAACCCACCCATCCAGGAATCAGCATCAGAAGGGCCCAATTTGCTTGTGGGTAGCGAGGCAGGGGGTAGTGACAAAGCTGGCAGAGAACCGAGGAAGCAGCATTGTTCCCCCTCGGATCCCTCCCCCACATAGAGCGCCACAACACAGCCACGTGGGTTTTGACACCCTGGTGAATACCTAAGGCTCCACACTTTACAATATAACAGGTGTGGGGGATTCCCCCCCCCCAAAAAAAAATGACCCAAGTGAAAGAACAGATTAAAGTTCCAAAAATAGAACTAAGCAATGAAGAGATAGCCAACCTATCAGATGCAGTGTTCAAAACACTGGTTATCAGGATGCTCTCAGAAAATACAGGAAAAAGTGAAGACTATGTAAAATGAAATAAAGAAAAGTATACAAGGAATCAATCAATAGTGAAGGGAAGGAAACCTGGACTTCAGTCAATGATTTGGAGCAGAAGGAAGAGATAAACATTCAACCACAACAAAACGAAGAAACAAGACTTTTTAAAAA